CCTTTAGTTTTTTTTTTTTTAAGATTTTATTTATTTATTCATGAGAGGCACAGAGACAGGGAGAGAAGCAGAGACGCAGACAGAGGGAGAAGCAGGCTCCATGCAAGGAGCCTGATGCGAGACTTGATCCCGGGACTCCAGGATCATACCCTGGGCCAAAGGCAATCACTGAGCCACCCAGGGATCCCCTAGTTTTTGTTTGACAAATTCTTTATCTCTCCTTCTGTTCTAAATGATAGCCTTGCTGAATAGAGTATTCTTGGCTGCAGATTTTTTTTTATCCTTTTAGCATTTTGAATATATCATGCCATTCCTTTCTGGCCTGCAAAGTTTGTGCTGAAAAATCCACCGATAGCCTTATAGGGCTTTCTTTGTATGTAATTGTTTTTCTTTTGTCTTGTTGCTTTTAAAATTTTTTTCTTTATCACTGCCTTTGCTATTTTAATCACTATGTGTCTTGGTGTGGACCTCCTTGGGTTGATTTTGATGGGGGATCTCTGTGCCTCCTGGATTTGTGTATTTGTTTCTTACCCCAGATTAGAGAAGTTTGAAGAAATAATAGCTATCTCCTTCTTATCCTATTCTTCTGGGATCTCTGTAATGAAAATGGTATTATATTTGATTGGTATTGTCATTGATTTCCCTAAGTTTATTCTCATTTTGAATATTTTTCTTTCATTTTTTTCTTCTTGATTACTTTACATTATTCTGTCTTGCATGTCATTAACTTGTTCTTCTGCTTCCTCTAGCCTGCTATTTATTCCATTGTGTATTTTTAATTTCATTAATAGTGTTCTTCATTTCTGATTGGTTCTTTTTTTTTTTTTTTAAATCTCTCTGTTAAGGATCTCACTGATGTTCCCCACTGGTATCTTAAGCCCAGTGAGTTCTTTATAATCATTACTTTAAATTCTCTATTAGGCATATTACATATTTTTGTTTTGCTTAGGTTTCTTGCTTGGTTTCGTCCTGTTCTTTTATTTGGGACATATTCCTCTGTCTCCTCTTTTTCTTTCTTTCTTTCTTTTTTTTTTTTTTTAACTCTCTGAGTCTGTTTTTATATGTTAGGAAAGTCAGCAATGTCTCGTGCTCATGAAAGTAGTGGGCAGGGTGCTCACTTTTAACAAAGTGGTGCTAGTCCTCTACCATAGGTGATGTGCAGTTGCTGCAGAGACCTGGGCCAGCCAGGGGTGTTCCACAAAGTGCACGTGGGGGCACAGTGCCCACAAGCTGTGTGTGCTGAGTCTCTTCCACAAAGGGCACACAGCTGCTACAGAGACCAGGGCCCTGCAAAGCATGCAGGTTGGGAGATTCTGTGTTGGTGAGGTTTAATGCTGGTCTTTTGGAGGGAAGGAACCTGCAGCACTGGGACTGAGGCAAGCATGACTGGAAAGCGCAGGTCTGCCAAACATGGGGGCGTGGGGCTTGGTGTAAGTAAGTTAGCTGGTGAGTATTGGTGCCGAACTGGTTCCCCCAGGTTTATGTTTATGCTGAGGGGTGGAGAATAGAAATGGTGCCTACCAGCTCCTTTGTTCATAGAAGGGTCTCCTTAGGATCCTATCCTCTCTGGGACAGGCTCTAAGATGAGTAAATAACTTTCCTTCCCATTCATCCCAGGCAATTTTCAAACTGCTGCTTCTGGGCTGGATCTCCAGGGGCTGTTGGCTATCTCTTTAAGGGCAGGGATTCAGCTTCCTAACACCCTTTAGGCTCTCCCAGAACTGAGTCCACTGATTTTTAAATTTAAGGCTTTGGGGTACCTGAGTGGCTCAGTTAGTTGAGTGTTGACTCTTGATTTTGGCTCAGGTCATGATCTCAGGGTCATGAGATTGAGCCCTATGATGGGCTCTGTGCTGAACATGGAGCCTGCTTGAGATTCTCTCTCCTTCTCCTTCTGCTGCCCCCTCCCTGCTTGCACATGTGCTAAATAGATAAATAAATAAATAAAATTCCAAGCTTTAAGTCCTGTTGGTTGTAAGAACTCATGAAATTTGGCCCTTCTCACTTACAAATCCAAATGTTATGGAGATTTGTCTTCCCCTTGCAGGTTCCCTGATGTAAGAACCTGTTTCTCACCCTCCTTAATGCCCCTCACCCCCGCCCCACCATGGATGACCCAGAGCTCCCTACCATGTCTCTGTCCTTCCTACTGTTTTAGATGTGGCCTCTTCTCTCTCTCTCTCTCTTTTTAAAGATTTTATGTATTTATTCATGAGAGACACACACACCCAGAGAGGCAGGGACACAGGCAGAGGAAGAAGCAGGCTCCATGCAGGGAGCCCGATGTGGGACTCCATCCTGGGGCCCCAGGATCACGCCCTGGGCCGAAGGCAGGCGCTAAACCCTGAGGACTTCTCTACTTTTAGTTGTGGAGTTTTGTTCTGTCAGTCTTTGGGTTGTCCTCTGGGTTATTTATGCCAGTGTGAATGTTTCCTGGTTGCATCCAGGGATGAGGTGAGCTAAGCATTGTCCTACTCTACCATCTTCCCAGCCTCTTTCCTTCCTGTGTGTTTTTATAATGTCTATTACTTATGTCAAACCACAGTGCTATCTTCCAAGTATGAGGCCAAATTTAATGTTTTATATTTGAGTAACCTACCCTTGGTTGTTTTTGGGATTGTTCTAACCTCAAGTGACTTAAGCATAATCAAACATATCTCAGGAGAGCATTTCTTTAATTCACATGAATATCAGAGAACCCATAAAAATAAAAAATGATTAATTTACTATTAAATAACTTTCTGTTATGATTGTTTTAACTAGAATATCATGCAATGTTTTAATATGGACTACAAATGATCTCAAATGGTACAATTTAATAAATAAGGGCAATAATAACATGGCATATGGAATCACTTTGAAGTGCTCTGTATGCAAGTGACATGTTACTACTAGAAAACTAGCAGATTCTTGAAGCTTTCTAAACAGCCATGCTACATTACCCAAATTCATTGACTTAGATTGGTAAATCTGTTTTCTGTCTTAATAAATTATTACTGTGGAATGTATAAAAGAGAGTTTTCTCGATGCTGCCAGAATTCCAAACCAGGTATCTGCAGAATAAGATATGATATAGATGACTGAAACAACTACTCTTCCTTTGGCCCGGGTGTTTATTATGCAGGTGATAACATATATGATTAGTCTGAAAGACAAACGTCAGCACTATAATAGTCAGGACTGTTAACGGGAAGACAGTGAGCATAATTTCAGAGTAATAGTATGAACCATCCTTGCTGTTACTGTTGTTGTTGGCCATTTCCTTTTTTTTTTTCTATAAATGCTGTGATTAGTTGGACAGACTATTGATGAATAGCACAACTCAACAGTTACTCTGAATAACATAAATCAACAGTTACCCTTTTCTAGAATTTTATAGATTGGTGGAACCCATAGATTTCAAAAATTTTAATATTATAGAGGACATTGGAAGTCATCCAGCTGAACTCTGTCATTTTGTAGATGAGGAAAATGAGGCCCAAAGCAATAAATGATGTTTTAAATTGCTGTCTTTGGAAAGAATTAGGTCTAGAGTTTAGGTCTCCTAGCTTCCGGAGCAATGTTGTTTTTTTTTTTTCATCATATTACGCTACCACCAGTGCATTATTAAAGATGGAAATGGTTAATTTTAGGAGTTTCTAATGAAGAAGAGGTGTTTCCTCCTAATTCCTAAATCATTGCCTTCTGCATATCTTGATGGAAAGCACACGAGTTCTTTTAAATCCATCACTTAAAATACCTGTACCCCAAGCACTCACCAGATATTTAGACTCAGAGCAGAGGCTTCCTCAGTGGAAACAATTGCTATTGAGTTGATCAAATAAGAGTGGTCTCTAAAAAGCTAAGCATGAATAGGTGGCAATTATTGATAAAGCTATCATCCATCATGGCAATTGTAAGAATTAAGGATAATATGGTAAAATTATCAGATAGCCAACCTTCTCAATTAAAAATTTTAGGTTTCGTTTTTGCATTTTTTTCTTCATTTTCTATTTATGACATTGGGCACTATTGGATATACAGTGATTTATCCTCATAACATTACGTTCTAGTGGAGGACACTAGAATAAAACACACATTTCATTTATTAGTAAGTTATGCAAAAAATAAGCAGGGTAACAAAGACAGAGAATGCCTGGAATAAGGGAGAGACTAACTAAATGAGTTACAGTAGTTAGAGAAGGTCTCTGGAGAGGTGGTATTTGAGCAGGGAATGGATGAGGAGACAAAACCAACAGGTAAAGATCTGAGGGAAGAACATTTCTGTCAGAATAAAGAATATGTGTAAAGGTCCTGAGGTAGGAATGGGCTTGGTGGTAGCAGAAGCGGGGAGATAAAAGGGGAAGAAGAGTAGAAAATGAGATCACAGACGAGGTCAGGAGCCAGGTCATGTGGGTAAGGTGGTAAGCTAATAGGGCAAGAGAAGACAGAGGGGGACAAGTTAAGAGATTATTGCAATAGGATTTTTATATATTTTTTAAAAGATTTTATTTATTTATTTGAGAGAGAGAGAGAGAGGCAGAGACACAGGCAGAAGCAGGTTCCATGCAGGGAGCCTGACATGGGACTCGATCCCAGGCCTCCAGGATCACGCCCTGGGCTGAAGGCAGCACTAAACTGCTGAGCCACCCAGGCTGCCTGATTATTGCAATAGGATAAATGAGGAAAATAGTGGCAAACTAGGGAGGTCTGGGTGGAAATGGAGATGATGCAAAGTGGCAGATTTGGAGTATATCTTAAAGGTTAGCTGACAACGTCTGCTGAAGGACTGAGTGTAGGAAAAAACATGAAAATGTGGCAGACAGACTTTAAGGTGGTCCCATAACCCACTGCCTCCTGGTGTTCATGCCCTTGTGTCATCCCCTGTCTTTGAGCTTGGGTGGGACCTGTGACTAACTTCTAACCCATAGAATATGGCAAAGATAATTGGGATGTTACATCAGTGGTTATACTATATAAGACTCCATCTTGCTACCAGACTCTTTCTTTCTCACTTTTAGCTTTGAAAAATCAAGTTTCTATGTTATCAGATGACCCACAGAGAAGGCCATGTGGCAAGGAACTGTGGGGTGGCTCCTAGGAGCCGATAGTGAGAGCTGGCAAGGGGCCAGGGCCCTCAGTCCTACAAACACAGGAACTTAATGCTACTAACAATCTCGTTGGAAATGGATCACCAACCAAGTTTCAAGATAAGAACAAAATGCTGGTCGACACCTTGATTGTAGCTTTGCAGAGGATTGCCGAACTCCTGACCCGTGGAAACTATGAGGTAAATGTGTGTTGCTTTAAGCTACTAAATTTGTAATGATTTGTAATATAGCAATAGAAATTTAACACACATGGGATATTTAATTCATCTGTTCTAGTCTTAGTGCCACGAAGTATTATAAGAAAGCAATTTATATAAAAAAATAAAAAATAAATTTATTAAAAAAAAACAGTAAGAAAGCCATGATCCTCAAACACAGCCTGCTTATTTTACAGATGTAGAAACAAGGCCACAGAAAGTCAAGTGACTGTCCGAGGCCACATGGGTCACTAGCAATTAGAACCTGCATCCGTCTTCCCCATCTGGAGCTCTTCTTGCTACATGATGCTGCTTTCCAGGCATTACATGTATCAAGTTTTTTGTTTTTATTTATTTTGTTGTTGTTGTTTGCTTATTTTTTCTGTCGGTCTATGTAAAGCACTTTATTGTAGCTTATTAAGATTTAGAATTTTTCTTCTTTTGATCCATGAAGGTGTGAGTTAGAAGCTCTCTCTCTCGAGTTAGAAAAAAGATATCTTTCTTTACCTTATCAGGGAAATCTGTCCCATATGTGATTCATATGAATTCCTAACCTTTAACCTGTGATGACCTGCATCATGAAAATGAACTGGCTTGGGGTTAGAGAGAACTCTTTAGAGTCCCCTAAATATAGCTAATTTTGAAGCTTCCTGCCTGGTCAGAGTGCCCGTGTGGCACAGTCGGTTTAGTGTCTGGCTCTGGGTTTAGGCTCAGGTTGTGATCTCAGGATTGTGAGATCAGTCTCCGCACTCAGCAGGGAGTCTGCTTGAGGTCCTCTCTCTCTCTCTCTCTCTGCCCTTCTCACTTGTGTTCTCTCTCTCAAAATAAGTAAGTAAATAAATATTTTAAAAACCAAAACCAAACAAAATTTCCTGCCCAGTCATAGCAACTCTCCTCTCTCCTATAAATCTTTTGGATCTTTAGGAAACCCTTGTCCCTCCCTGTTTACGGGGCCTCCTTCTCCTGAGAAACACAATCACAGTAATGGTCACTGGAGAGCCACTGGGTTGAGGTGATAAAAAGCAAAAAAATAGAAAATATTTTCAAGAAAGAAAGGAAGGAAGGAAGAAAAAATGGGAGAAGGAAAGAAAAAGAGAAAGAAGAAAGAAAGAAAGAAAAAGAAAGCAAGCAAGCCATGTGAAAACAATACAACCTAAAATTCCAGTATCCTGTAGTGCTCTGGATTGAAAACATGAGCCTTGAGTAGCCCTGGGATAAGATCATCTCTCACTAAAAGCACAGCCATGGTCCACCCTACATGGTCCACCCTGGAGGCTACATCTTACATCACTTCTGTGTCCATTGTCCCAGAGACAGGAACTGGAATTTTAGCTCATGTTACTTTGGAGGTTGTTCTTCACGTTGTTCATGGAGTACTGGAAGGATTTAGCAAATCACCCTGTCCTATTGGGAACTGTAATACTCTCATGGCAATCATCCTCCTACTCTGCTACCCTTTTTTTGGCATCATGTTCCTACAAATTACTATAAATTACTATTTTCATTCATTTAATACTGGGATGAGACAATGGAATTCTTTTCTTTTGTGCATGAGCCAAGAGATAATCTGTGTCAGGCTGAAGGAGTGAAATAGGCAATAGGGTTAGTGTGAAAGGCGACAAACATCAGTATGCTGTGGACAACCACATTTTTTTCTATAGATTACAGTAATGTGGAGCTGACTCTGGATGCAATGAATCTTGTAAATAATTATGGCTTAAGTTATCAAGCTGTAAACTGGACTGCTGTTCTGCTGCTTGATATAAGCAAATCCTAGCAGTCATATTTTATATGGGAATATTTCACCTGGCCTAGGTGTATATGAATATTTATAGCAATTCTGAAAATAATTTGAGATTACTAAGTTTCCCTATCCCTTTTGCTGTGAAGATCCGCCCGCACTCCCTGTCATCTTGCAAAAATACTATATTTACAAGTTCCCAAGATCCTGACATTAGAAAATTAACTAGTTTATTCTTTATTTGTTGTTTAAAATTTAAATAACTCAGGAATGATAAAAAATGAAGTGTTGTCAGCTCTTTATACATGGAGTGAGTCTATCCCATCATTTTCTGGAGCAGGTGTAGCTGAGGGATAGGAGGCTGGTTGTTAGAGGGGAGGTTATATGAGGTGTACTTGGAGGGCATATGGAGGGAGAGATATACTTAGGGAAGGTCAAGCAGAGGGTAGAGGAGTCCCGAAGACCAAATCAGTCCAGTTGACGTCTCCCTAGCCAGGCAGCAGGCGGCCATAATCTTAGCCTAGCTTCTCTCCTGATCCTTATAAAAGATGGTAGATGTCTGAACAAGCCCAGAAACCTAAATAACAATTATGGCGTACCACTCAAGAGCCACACCTTCTTACACATTGTTTAGTAACATAAATATTATTCTGTAAAGTTCCATGTATTCAAAGCTTTCAAAAGAATACTATAGTTTTGGTAACTCAAGCATGTGCTATGGTACTGCCACCTTGTCTGATGAGAGTAATTACTCGGGATATGCATACTTTGCCTTACGGAGGCAATGCATATAGATAGTTCCATTTTCTGAATTTCCATTAATTTAATTTAATTTTCAGTCTGAGTATATTGGATTTGATAACACGGTCATGATTGAATTTGTCAGTTCAATTAAACAAACAAGTTTGTAAAATATTATTTCAATTTGAGTATTTTTATTCCATTGGTTAGAAACAAATATAAGCAAAATTAACCGAATTCAAAACAAAATCCCAAACAAATACTAAGTTGGCCAGCTGTCAAAAAAGTTGAGGCATTGGAAAACAGATTACTGGCAATACCCATATGAAGTTTTGTGAATCTACCAAGAGTTGGAGGAACTTGATTAGGATTAACTTGACTTTAGGAATTAATTCTAAATATGTATTTATAAAGATTTCCCTCTATAATGGAGAATAACTTGTACACTTATGACAGTTAAAATGGCAATCATATATTTTATACAGTATCAAGAATGAGCCTTAATATAAACTGTGGACTTTGGATGATAATGATATATTAATGTAGGTTCTTCAGCTGTAACACATGTCCCACTCTGGAGGGGGATAGTGATAATGGAGGAGACTACACATGTGTGGGGGCAGGGGCATATGGTGAATCTCTGTATCTTCTGCTCAGTTTTGCTGTGAACCTAAAATTGCTTTAAAAAAAAGTCTATTTAAAAAAGAAAGGAAGAAAAGAAAGAAAGAAAGAAAGAAAGAAAGATAAATAAAATCTTGTTAAAAATGGCAAAATCAAATGCATAACTATTTTCTCATTTAATTTGTTTTAGATTCCCATTAGCTAACATAGTAAAATTGAACATCTTTTCATCAAGTGCCCTTTTAAAGAGAGAATTTTATTTTTTAAAAATAATTTTACAAATGAGTGGGAAATATCAGAAAGGGAGACAGAACATGAGAGACTCCTAACTCTGGGAAACGAACTAGGGGGTGGTGGAAGGGGAGGTGGGTGGGGGATGGGGGTGGCTGGGTGACGGGCACTGGGGGGGGCACTTGATGGGATGAGCACTGGGTGTTATTCTATATGTTGGCAAATTGAACACCAATTAAAACTAAATTTAAAAAAATCAATAAATCATACCTCATCTAAATTTAAAAAATAATAATAATTTCACATACCATTTTGTAACTACTCTGCACAGGGAATTTATGTTAAAATGTTTAATATGTCATCTCTCCTTTGAACATTAAAAATACATAGAGGCCTTTATGCATCAGTTTATTTTACTTATGTAATTCATTGTAACATTTAAGCCTGAAATAACTTAAGACTAATTTGCTTGGGAAAACTGAGACACATAACAGATTTCTTGGTCTTAATGCATTGGCACAAAGTATCCATAGTTATTATTACTGCAGAATTAAGCATGCTTTCAGAAATCTGACAATGTACAATTGGGGAAATTCCAATATTATCTATTTAGATGTTGTGTCAGAGAATAAAAATAAATCTTTCTAACACCAATTATCTCATATTCTTGCACTCTAAATAAATAACCAAATTAATCATCCTCACCCTTAAATTTCTAGAGTTCTCGTTTTTTACAGTAATATCTGGCTTTCATTAGCATCTTTTAATGAACTGGTCCATGCTGAGCAAAAATAGTTAAATCTAATAAACAATTGGTCGAAATACATTCCCCTGCATTGAAATAGGTTTTTTAATTTTGTTTTGTTTTGTTTTTATGGTTATTTAGTTTTGTTTTTTAATCAGCAGCTTCATCCTGGGCTGGTTAGGATCAGAGCTCTGACCTCCTGCTTTGACCTTAAGACTGCACAATCCTGTAATTATGATGCCTCTTGCCTGTATATATATATATATATATATATATATATATATATATATATATATATGCAGAGGCAAGGAGCTCATTATTATATTTATTTTTGGAATATGTATAATAATCAGGTATATGAAGGTTGCAATGAATCATTGCCTACCAATAGTTTTATTTATTAGTAAATAATAATTTATCATGATTAAAAGGGATTAGGATGTTTTTGTTTCCAGTTCAAAAAAATAAAGAAAAAATAAACAAACTGTAATAAATATAAATTCTGCAAAACAGCATTGAAAATACAATTTTGAATGGAGTTTAAAGTTGCAAAATGCTTCATTATTTATACTTTTGGGGGGAATTTTCCCCAAAATGGCAAAATCGATTATTATGGTATCATAGGTATTATTGGAAACATATTCATATTTGGTAGCATTATATATATATATATATATATATATATATATATATGAATCAAATATTAGCCTTAAGTGAAACTGTAAGCAAAATGATTTCGTGACCAGATGGCTTAATAAAAACAATACTTTTTATGGTTTTCTCAGAGCTTTTGCCGGAGCATAATTTTTACCTAAAATGTACTCTCCTTCTCCTATATCGCAGCCTTTCATGACCATCACCAATGTCAAGTCTTCCTCAAGGTCTTTCCTAATTCTTTCTGCTTCGGATCACTTCCCTCTTTGAGCCTCCATTGTTTGTGTGCCTAAAAAATACTTTTATTAATTCTTTGTCAGTTACAAAGGCTTTTCAACTTTAAGCGACAGAGAATCTGACAGTGGACTAGAAAGATGAGGTTTTCTTCTTTTCACACGACACGGTATGTGGGGGGGTGGCTAATAGGTATCCACCAGCAGCGCCTTGATAGCAGGCCCAGTATCCTGGTGATTCTCTTGGTCTTGCCCTTTTGACTCCGAGATGGCGCCTCTACTTGCTCTTGCTAAGTTTCATCCTTGATATGTCCTTCCTTCGGCAAGCTGGGAAAAAAGAAGCAATCATGAGAGGGGATGAAGCATCCTTTTTGTTTTTTTCA